CTTGGATAGTGGAGGGACCACGGGTTCCTCGCCACCAGGGCAGTGTGCCCTGGGCTGTCCCTTGGATAGTGGAGGGACCACGGGTTCCTCGCCACCAGGGCAGTGTGCCCTGGGCTGTCCCTTGGATAGTGGAGGGACCACGGGTTCCTCGCCACCAGGGCAGTGTGCCCTGGGCTGTCCCTTGGATAGTGGAGAGACCACGGGTTCCTCGCCACCAGGGCAGTGTGCCCTGGGCTGTCCCTTGGATAGTGGAGGGACCACGGGTTCCTCGCCACCAGGGCAGTGTGCCCTGGACTGTCCCTTGGATAGTGGAGGGACCACGGGTTCCTCGCCACCAGGGCCGTGTGCCCTGCCTGGTGATGGCTCCACGCCCCACCCATTGGCCCGTCGGTTCCTCCCAAGGGAGAGCTGGACTGGGGAGCTGGTTCGTTCTCAGAGGAGCCCGAGATGCGACGGCAGTGCCCTGCCGTGAGCCAGGTGGGCTGGGGAGGAGCCCTCCTGAGAAGCGGGAGCAGTGTCTCGTCCCTGCAGGCCCAGCCCTGTGCACGTGCCACTCACAGGCACCTCAGTGCCTTCCGGGTGTGTCCGGGTGCCAGCGCACCAGTGCCGTGTGCAAGACGGGTTGCGTGGTGGTTCTGAGCCTGGCGTGGTGCCTGTCCACCAGTGGCAGACCAACAGATGGACCAGAGCCGTTGGCCAGTGAGGCAATCAGCTGGAGGCCAGGGAGCGCAGGGGTGTGGGTGGACGGCGGGTGTCCCCTGGGCACCTCCATGCTGGCCCTGCTTCCTCCCCAGGTGGAGACAGAGGCTTGCACGGGGCGGCGTAGCGGCACTGTGGTGTGTGGCGGAAATCTTGAAAGCAGCACGGGATGGCGCCGGGAGGAGGCTCTGAGTATCGCGGTCACTGGACAGTTTGGAGAATCTTCCACAGTTGGTTTTTAAAGGTTTATTTAGGGGCCGCCGCTGTGGCATAATAGACTAAGCCTCTGCCTGTGGTGCCGGCATCCCATACGGGCTCTGGGTCAGGTCTTGCCTGCTGTACTTCCAGTCCAGCTCCCTGCTCATGGCCTGGGAAAGCACAGAAGCATAGACGCATAGAAGATGGCTCCTGTACTTGGGCCCTGTACCCACGTGAGAGACCTGGAAGAAGCTCCTGGCTCCTGGCATCGGGTCAGCTCCGCTCCAGCTGTTGTGGCCATCTGGGGAGGGAACCAGCAGATGGAAGACCTCTCTCTCTGTCTCTCCCTCTCTCTGTAACTCTGCCTCTCAAATAAATAAATAAAAGATAAAAAAGATTTATTTATTTATTTATTTGAAAGGCTGAGTGGAAGAGATCGTTAGTCCACTGGATTCCCCCTCAGATGGTTGCAGTAGCCAGGTTTGGCCAGACTGAAGCCAGGACCCAGGAACTCCATGGCAGTCTCCCACATGGGTGGCTGGGGCCCAGGCACTTGGGCCATCCTCTGCTGCCCCCTCAGGCACATTGGTAGGAAGCTGGGTCAGAAACAGAGCAGCCAGGACGCAAACCTGCCTCCCTTGCAGCGTGCCAGCTTAGCCCACTGCGCCGCACTGCCAGCCCCTCTAGTGAAGTTTTGATGACCCGGAAGGTCTGCAGTGCCTGGAAGCCGGCAGTGCCCGGTCCCGCCTCCAGTGGGGTTGGGGATGAAAGCCCCTCCCTGCTTCAGTGCTGGTGGCCCACAGGTGTGGTCAGGTGAGGAGCACCAGCCATGGGCTATGCCGGCACGCCCATAACCAGGGAGTGTACACGCAGGGTGGGCTTGGGGACCAGGCCGAGGCTGCCTTCCCCGTGGGCCGGGTGCGTGAGCAGTGCCCAGGTCAGCCACAAGCGCAGCGCACAGATTCCCCACTGCTCCCTGCCTGCTGCAGCTCCCAAAGTCGGCCTGGAAGGAGAGCCCGAGCCGGAGCCGCCCCCTGGGAAGGGCTGGAAACCAGGTCCCGGAGAGGAGCAAGCGGGGCCCCGAGGGACTTCCACGCACAAGCATGGGCGCACGCGCCGTCACAAGTGACCCTGGCGGTCTTACCCCACCCTAGGAAGAGTCCTCCAATGCCCTCCACTGAGTGAATGAAGGGGGGGGCGGGGCGTTGGGAGGAGTCGCCAGGAGACTGCTGGGGGGGGGGGGACCAAGGCCTAGGAGACACCCAGGAGACACACTTCTACCTCCTCACCTGTCTGCCCCGAGTGACCAAGGGCACAGGTGTGTGTAAGTGAGCTGCCAGTTGTCTCTGTCTTGTCTGCATCGGGGCCCAAAACCTTGGGAACAGGAAGACCCAGCCCTCTCAGGAGGGACCCCAGGGGTTCCTGGGTGGGGTCGGCAGCTGGCAGAGCCCCTCACCCCCAAGCATATCCGCCACAGTCGGGGTCCCCTGACCACTGTGAGTCCAGGCCCAGAACCCAGAGTGGGCCCGTGCGTTCTCAAGCTGTGCGAGGGAAGTTGTAAGACATGAGTGGCTGAGCTGGGCGGGCCCCGGGGGTGCTCGTCCCACTGGGAAAGGAGCGTGGAGGGCGGGTCCTGCGTGGGAGGGGTTGGCGAGGCGGTGCTCCCTGAGGGAGGGGCACGGAGGCGGCCTCAGTGCAAGTTCTGAGGGTCCGCTTACGCTCAGGGTGGCGGCAGCAGCACAGGACCCCGGGGCGGGGCCCAGGGAGTGACCACTTCCGCCGCTCGAGGGTGGCCCCGGCTCCCCGGAAGAGCGGCCCAGCAGTCCCCGCTGTCACTTCGGCCTTCCCAGCCTCCTGCCCGCTGGGAGCAGCCGCGCAGCAGTGGGGCAGGCACACGTCCTGACCACGTCCCTGGACTGGGCTGCAGCCAGCTGGGGCCTGGCGCACCCTGGAGATGCGACTGATCCTAAGCTCAGCCCAGCTTTCAGGCCCCTCAGAAGGGAACGTCCTGACCCTGAGGCAGTGCGGCTCCGGTCCCCGCTCGGCCCACGCTGCAGGGCCACGCTGTGCCCTGGCTTCCGGCTTGTGTCCTGTGGGAGCCGGAGGCCTGGACCGCGCCTGTTCTGAGCCCCTGCTGCACTGGATCCGACCCCTGCCCCAGGGATCGCGTTTCCAGGGAGGCCCCTAGGGGGCCTTGGGGCAGGGGACTCTGCCCCTCTGCTGTGGCCGGCGTGGCCCGTCGAGGACAGCCTCTTCCCCACGAGGTTTCCGTGGGCTGTCCCCGCCTTCCGAGGTCTTGCCGGGCGTGTGGGAAGCACTGAGGACGGGGGCCTGGGTGCTGGGTGCTGCGCTGTTGGGCCTGCTCGGGGCTCCAGGGGAGCAGCAGGCGTGCCGAGCCCTCTGCACGGCCGTGGTCAGGGTCCGCGGTGGGGGCGCATGCAGCCTCTGGATGACCTGCACGCAGAAGCCGGCCGGGGAGCAGCCAGCTTTCCAACCTCGGTGTCTGGCATGGAGAGGCACGCATGCGTGCAGGGCGGGGCGCCCAGAGTCGTCGTCACTCAGCAGAGACCCGAGGGTTCCCAGATGGTGCCGCTCGGCGAGACTCATCGTCTCGGGAGCACGTGTTCTCACCGGAAACCAAAGCCAAGTGATTCAGGAACTCGGAGTTTTCTGGGTCAGAAATACAGTAAGAACGGCTGACTCGCGCTATTTTTAGTAACGGGACTTTGGTGCGTAGTGATTGAAGTCATGGAATGTTTTAAAAAGCAGAAGGTGTTATTTGAGACAAAGGCCTTTGATTGAAAATTAGAAGTTCCATAAGTCAGCGAGTATTTAATTGCTGTTTTTCAAAGCGCACAGTGGGAAGTTGGCTGGATGGAGTTGGTGGGGACTTGCGTCGGGATAGAGCTTCGTTCACCGCCTCAGTCAAGAGCGTTTCCCGAGGGAACAGCATGGCCGGTGCCCACTGGAGCCAGCCAGCGTGCCTGGGGTCGAGCACCCAGCTGGCCGGGCATTGGAGGGGTGAACCGCTCTCTCCCCGGCTCAGGCTGACGCAGGGGCGCCCCTTGCTGAGTCGGAGTCCTTCCCTCCGGCCAGGTCTCGTCCCGTGGCCTGCTCGGCCTTGCAGCTGGTCCACAGCGCTCACTTCCCAGTTGCTCGCGAGGAGGAGGAGCAGGTGCGAGAGCCGGCGCGAGTTTCCAGGCGTGTTCAGTGAATGCCCAGGTCGGGTGTGGCGTGTCCCTGGGCCGTGGCAGAGACAGCTCGCACAGCCGTTGGGGCGCTGCCGCGTGGTCGTCAGCTCCTCTGAGGCCGTCACTGCAGAGGACACGTCCTGGGGTCCTTGGGGAACTTCCCTGGTGTGTCCTAGCTCCTCAGCGTCCTCAGCCGTGTGTGGGGTGCTGGGCTGATTCTGGGACTCTGACTGGGCACGGGGCACGGGCACCCAGGTCCCAGGGAGACAGGAAGGCAGACATGACGGTGCAGTCTGGCAAAGCGACAGCAGAAGCGGGACTCCAGCCGTGGAGGCCAGCCCGGGGGGTCGGGGGTGGCCCCCAGGGGCCTCACCTTAAGGCTGAGACCAGGTTGTGAAGTGCCTTGGTGTCTGGGGAGCCATGGGGCCGGAGCAGGCGTGATCAGACACCGGCCTGCAGGCTGGAGAGTGCGCACAGCGGTGCCACCGTGAGGCCCTGTGGGGCCCACGCAGGGTAGGAGGGGCCCCAGCCAGGGCCCGAGAGGGTGGCGGGACGTGAGGAGGATGCTGCACGGGGCAGACCGCAGAGGCACGAGCCTGGGCCAAGGCTTGGACCTGCCTGGGAGCCCCCGAGGAGTGGGGCAGGCCCAGCGGAGAGCATCCTCTATGGGATCTGGGCAGAGCAAGGGGAGGACCCAGGAGGGAACAGCTTGCACAGGAAGGGTGCGGTGCCACGTGCACCCAGCGGTCAGAGGGCTTGCCTGCGGTGAGTGGATCGGTACAGCGCCGAGGGGAAGAGAATGGGGGAGGGGTGTGTGGGCTCGCGTGCCGAGGCCCGGCTGCCGCCGCTCTAACGCGCGTTCTCTGCTGTTTTCCAGTGCTCGCGCCTCCTGCGCCGCCACCGCCCATCCAAGGATATGCCTTCAAGCCTCCGCCGAGGCCCGACTTTGGGACCTCCGGGAGAACAATCAAGTTGCAGGCCAATTTCTTCGAGATGGACATCCCCAAAATTGACATCTATCACTATGAATTGGATATCAAGCCCGAGAAATGCCCCAGGAGAGTGAACAGGTGCGGTATTCCTCCCTTGCCGCGTGCACGTGCTCCTGGCCGCCCAGGCACAGGCGCCACACCACCCAGCCCTCTCCCCAGCACCGCCCGGGCCGCCTGTGCTTTTGCTTGTTGGAGACTGTCTTCACGTCGAGATCGCTATTCAGTGCGTTGGGAACCCCCACGCGTGGGTGCCTCCCTGAGTTCAGAGCGTGGCAAGCGTGTGGCCGTCAGCCTGGACGTTGTCTCGTGCCTGCTCAGCCGGTCTCCCAACCTGCAGGGAGTGGGTGGCAGCCCGAGCCGTGGCGTCCCCGTGGCCTGGCTTCCCTGACTCAGCGTGTCCCCCAGCCTGCAGAGAGCAGGTGGCAGCCTGTGCCGTGGCGTCCCCGTGGCCTGGCTTCCCTGACTCAGCGTGTCCCCCAGCCTGCAGAGAGCAGGTGGCAGCCTGTGCCGTGGCGTCCCCGTGGCCTGGCTTCCCTGACTCAGCGTGTCCCCCGGCCTGCAGAGAGCAGGTGGCAGCCATGCCGTGGCCTCCCTGTGGCCTCTTCTCTGACTCAGGGTGCTTCGAGAGGCACCCATGTCACTGTGGACTTGTAGCCCCGGCTCGTGGCTGCTGAGTGGCGTCTCCTTGTCTGTTCGCAGTTTCTTTTTCACGCTCCCATTAGACGTGCGGGCACTGGACCTCCTCGTTCAAGTCCTTGTGCAGAGATGTGTCCTCACTGCCCTCCGAGAGCGCCTGCGAGTGGCTTTGCTGCCTTTGAACGCACGCAGTAGTTGTGCAGGGCGGCGCAGTGTGGCGGTTCCAGCTGCCCTGCCACGACTCAGTAGAGCACCTTCCCATGTGCTTATATCCGTATGTTGTACTCAGAGCGAATACAGTATTTCTCGGGACATGTCTATGATGAATCTTCTTTTTGAGATTTATGTATCCATTTGAAAGCCAGAGTTACGGGGGTGGGGGGGGAGGGAGAGAGGTCGTCCATCTGCTGGTTCGCTCCCCAGATGGCCGCAATGGCTGGAGCTGAGCCGATCTGAAGCCAGGAGCGAGGAGCTTCTTCCAGGTCTCCCACGTTAGTACAGGAGCCAAGGACTTGGGCCATCTTCTACTGCTTTCCCAGGCCATAGCAGAGAGCTGGATAGGAAGAGGAGCAGCCAGGACTCGAACCGGCACCCATATGGGATGCCGGCACTGCAGGCAGCAGCTTTAGCCCACTATGCCACAGTGCCAGCCCCTGATGATGAAGTCTTTTACCTGTGTTTTACTGGGTTATTTGTGTGGGGTTTGTTTATTTGCTTTGTTTTTACTGATTTATAGATTATTCTAGGTGCAAATCTATTTAGGGGAATTTTTTAACTTGAATATAATTTAAAATATTTTTTCCCAAGAGGCAGATAGAGAGCTCCTACCCCATGGTTCACTCTCCAGACACCCCCAACAGCCAGAGCTAGGCCAGTGCCAGAGCGGGGGGCCTGTTGCCGCCGGGGCTACGCTGCAGCTAGCTGGGGAGGAGCCGCAGGCGGGGCAGAACCTGGCATCCCGCGTGGGGTGCGGGCATCTTGTCCTGCTGGGAAGCCGCCTCTCTCGATGGTGCCCTGATGAGCGAGCGTTTGCGTCCTCTGGGAGTCCAGGCACTAAGTCTGTTAGGGTCGCTCTCCTACCCGGAGGGCATACGGGGCTTCCCTGACTCCCGCTGGGGGCGGGGGCCACCTGCAGTCCGTTCTTGCTGTGGTGGGAGGTTAGGTTCCTTGGGAACTGCTGGTGTTTCCCATTGACACAGCCTGGCGCTTTGCAGGAGAAATCAGTGGGTTTTACACATGCGGGTCTGTGTGGGTCAGTTCTCATGCATGCGGGTCTGTGTGGGTCAGTCCTCATGCATGCGGGTCTGTGTGGGTCCTGCACGTGTGGCTCTGTTCTGTGTTACGTGTGTGCAGGTCTGTTGTACATTACACACGTGGCTCTGTTCTGTGTTATGTGTGTGGGTCTAGTCTGTGTTAACAGATGTGCTGGTCTGTTATGCACATGTATGTTCTATTACATGTGTGTTACACATGTGTGGGTCTATTTCTGAATTTTCTCCTATCTTCAGGCTGGTAACTCAGAGCTGTGTTGGAGTAAGTGTGACAAGCGCCTTTTTTGTTTTGTTTTGTTTTGTTTTAAGATTTATTTTGTTATCTGAAAGACAGAATTACAGAGAGGTAGAGACAGGGAGAGAGGTCTCCACCTGCTGGTTCACTCCCCACGTGGCTGCAGTAGTCAGAGCTGAGCCGCTCCCGAGCCAGGACTTCTTCCTGGTCTCCCACTCAAGTGCAGGGGCCCACGCACTTGGGCCACCCTCTGCTGCTTTCCCAGGTCGTTAGGATCCAGCTCCATTAGCAGGAAAGCCCCCCGACCCGTCTGGTTCATTCCTTCAATGCTCACAATTGGCTGGGGCTGGACCAAACCAAAGTCAACCACCAGGAATCAGTCCAGGTCTCCCACGTGACGGCAGGGACCCAATTTCTTGAGCCATCACTACTGCCTGTCAGAGTGTGTGTTAGCAGGAAGCTGGGTCGGATGTGGAGCAGCTGGGACTCGAACCAGTGCCCTTATGGGATGCGGGCGCTGCAGGCTGGGACTTTAACCTGCTGCGCCACAGCACTGGCCCCGAATTTGGCTGTTATGCTCCCTTTGCTTTTGCAAATAAATACAACAACTTGTCGATTTCTACCAGAAGCCGCTTGGAGTTTTTAAAATTGTGATTGCTTTGAATCTGTGTTGTGTTGTTCTTTGATGCTGTTGTAAATAAGGATTTCAGATGGCTTTTTTTTTATTTTTATTTTTTGACAGGCAGAGTTAGACAGTGAGAGAGAGAGACAGAGAGAAAGGTCTTCCTTTTTCCTTTGGTTCACCCCCCAAGTGGCCGCTACAGCTGGCGCGTTGCGGCGGGCGCGCTGCGCTGATCCAAAGCCAGGAGCCAGGTGCTTCCTCCTGGTCTCCCATGGGGTGCAGGGCCCAAGCACTTGGGCCATCCTCCACTGCACTCCCTGGCCACAGCAGAGAGCTGGCCTGGAAGAGGGGCAACCGGGACAGAACCCGGCGCCCCGACCGGGACTAGAACCCGGGGTGCCGGCACCACAGGTGGAGGATTAGCCTAGTGAGCCGCGGCGCCAGCCATCAGATGGCATTTTCAAGGAGGGATGGAAAGACTGGCCGTGCATGTGGTGTTCCTTTATAAAAAGTAGTGAAGATTTTCTTAGCTAATTGTGATGTCGCAAAACGCCGAGTTTATTAAAATCTCTGTGTTATCCACTTTGAGCAAATTTTATGGTTAGGTGAGTGAGATCTCAAAGATGGTGAAACTTTGTTGTTGGAACTAGATACAGTTTCACTTCTTTTTGTCCATTTCTGATGCATTTTGTTCATTCGCCTGTCTCCTCGCAGTGGGTTGGAAACGGATGCGATGTTGGATCCGGAGGAGGGAGTGGTCACGCCTGGCCCGGCAGTGGGGTTCCTGAATCCTCTGTGGGGCGTGCCCCCTTGGCTGACCACCCCCAGAGGGCGTCCCTGCATCCACGCGGGACCCTGATTGGGATGCAAAGCCAGCCTTGCACTTCTGCCGTGGTGAAGGGGGCAGTGGAGGGCGTGTGCTGGCCTCCCGGGGTCTGGGCCCTGGGAGAGTCGGATGTGAGGCTGGTGTCACTTCTTCCTTGAGCGCAGGGCTGACGTTGTCATAGAAACCACCTGGGCCGGGCGTTTCTGGGCGGGGCTTGCTGTGGCTGCCTGTGTTTCTGCCCCGGCCTGCATCGGCCTGCATCGGGCTGGGCTCGCGGGGCGGGTGCTCTGCACGCCTGCGGGGCTCGCGGGGAGCCTCAGCTCTGGCCTTGTGAGTTCCACCTGGCTCTGTCTTGGTTGGGCTTTCTGGGAGTGTGATTTATTCGTCTTTCCCAGCACTGACTTTTGACTTTGTTGGTTTTTCTGCTCTGATCCGTTAGTGTTTTCCTCATTTTACTCACTTTTGGGCCATCAGTTTAAACCTGTCCCCTTCGTGGTAGCCAAGGGGCCGGCACTGGGGTGCAGCAGGTTGGGCCTCCGCCTGCCCGCCGGCATCCCACGTGGGTCCTGGTTCGAGTCCCGGCTGCTCCGTTTCCACTCCAGCTCCCTGCTAATGCACCTGGGAAAGTGGCGGAAGATGGCCCAAATGCTTGGGCCCCTGCTTCAGCCTGGCCCAGCTCTGGCTGTCGTGGCCATTCGGGGAGTGAACCAGCGGGTAGAATCTCTCTCTCTCTCTCTTGTCTTTGTCCCTCCCTCTCTCTCTCTAACTCTGCCTTTCAATAAAAATTGAAAAACTAAAGGCAAAGCCGTAGCCATGTAGTTTGTTTCCTGCGTGTCAGTTTTCATTTAGTTCAAAATATCTTCTGCTGCCTGTGATTTCAGGCCCCGCGGGCTTTCACAAGCGAGCTGTGAAATATTTACGCTCCGAGCGAGTGCTGCCGCTGACCTCGGAGTTGGCTCCCGCGTGAGCACGGTGCGTGCTCCGTAGACGTCAGTGCGGCTGTGCGGTCGAGCCTGTGATTTCTCATGCCGAGCAGTTCCTAGGCGCGAGAAAAGCGTGTGTGCTGGCTGCTGTTGCGTGGGGGCTCCGTTCGCGCCGGAGGAGGCTGCTCCAGCCCCGGCTCCTGAGACACCTCCTGTCCATGTGCACGAGGACGTGTGTGCCCCTTCGCGCACCCTGAGCTCTGGTGGACGCGTGCACAGCTGTGATTGTGGGCAGCGCTGGTGCACTGCTGATGCCTTCAAGAAACGCCCTTCTTTATCACCGAACAGTGAAGATGGGCTTGTGTGGACATTCACGTACCCGGAACGTTCTTAATGGTTGTTGTGTCCCACCCCTGCACTGAGTGTGTGTGTGCAGGGCCCACCCTGCGGACAGCAGTCACTGTTGTCTGTTGTCTCCACTCCTGCACTGAGTGTGTGTGTGTGCGTGTGCAGGGCCCACCCCACGGACAGCAGTCACTGTTGTCTGTTGTGTCCCACTCCTGCA